GGGGCTCACCAGGTAGGCGCAGTGCCTGAAGCTCCATCAAACTTATGTTTTTTAATTGAACCCAAATTGCACGTACTGTGCGAAATATACTCAGTTGAGAACAAATTCTGTTTTGCGAGGGGCGCAATTGAAATCCAGCTGAATCTCACTTTTGTCTTTCATTTATAGAGAGTGCTGTTGCAGCCTGTAACGTTTTCTTCCCACTAGTTTGCAAACGGCTGCCTCGGTCTGCCTACCACAGTTAGTTTTTAAAACTAAAAGCTTTTTTAATGTGTTTCTCACGATAGCTCCAAATTCGCATGGACCACTTGTTTTCTGGGCATTTAACGACTTTATCAACTTGGAAACCACCATGGAAGTGGCAAAGCATGGTCCTATCGATCTTCGAGATATTAATGGATCCACTATGCTGCATCATGCGGTGAATATATTCCACCAGTTACACAAAGGGGACAGAAACGGGCGTCTGTGGGTCAGTTTGATTGTCCTCACCTTACTGAATCGTGGCATCAAGCTGGGGCTCCGTGATTCTTGGGGTCGGACTGCTCGCGATCTGGCTAATGGCGCGTCTGATCAGATCGGAGACGAGTCGGGAGGCTGCCAGGTCAAGGTCACATACAGAGAACCAGCTGAAGAGGTATGCACATCATCGTAACTATCCTTGATGCCGGTGTACAACTGCGCGAAGGTATTTGTATGATTCTAACTGACAAAATTCTCTGTAAATTGAGCAGTGCTTGCAGCTGTTATATAGCTACAAAATAACTTACAAGGTTTTGCACTACAATGAATTTTTGTATTAGGCTTGTCAGCAAAGCGAAATGTACTTTTTTGGGTAACGGGTTATGCATCAATAGAACTATTTATCTTCATTGTCCCAACTGAAATACCGATTCGTTTGCGTTTTGGGTGCATAGAAATATCTTATCCATGCACTCGTCTCTCATGTTTGAAAAGTCACGGCTCATCTCGAATCAGTGAACGTCATCAGTGTTCGTTTTGATTGCTGGGTTGAGTTACAGATGCTCTGAGAGGACTGATTTACTCTTCCTAGTCATTAGCCCAAATAACAATTCACTATCTATCCATAACTATCCACTTCGGATATCCTGTTTATCGGCGTAAGATTTTCACCACCTTAGTGCTTTACTTCCATAGATTCTTGTGGTAAAAAGTGGCACGCAAGTTAGTTGGGTTTTACAAAAAACTTTCGATGACAGCTGAACTTGGTTAAATTAGTTGCATTGCGGATACTAGGGGTCTGAAATGTGGAATCCTTTCAGTCAGTAATGTCGGCGTGGTTTGTGCAGGAAATTGAGCTTACCTACTGATATTTAAAATATTAAATGAAAAGATGCAGTCTAGGAGGATGCAGTAAATGCTATAGACACCTAAATTTTGGTCTCAGTCACTCAAATTCAGCTCCCTCTTCGGATTCGAATTGTCACCTTTCTCATGTTTAGTGAAAGTGTGATTAGTTTAGATTTCTGCACAAAATATAAGGCACGAAACCCGAAAAACGTGCTTTGATTGCATTTGCTCATTTCCCGCAAGAGGATTAGGTATTGAGTTATGAACAAATATTAATTTGCTCCGTCCGAAAAAATCCACTCATTCATCTTGTCATTGTTAAGTATTGTGGTAATGGACAACTAAATAGCCCAAAGGAGGGGGGGGATAACACAAAATGTGATGTGGTCAAACTCGTATCTGCATGAATTACAAGAACCTAATATAAAACTACGTTTTCATTGTCAAAAATTAAGCTGATAAAACGGAGGCTACTGCCAACAAATTAAAGGGTTGTAATGGTCAAAATACGCCCCAATCGGTATAATAAGGTATCGTTTCTGTTTGGTACCACAGGGGGACCACTGGAGAAAATAACAAGTGTAACGTAAATGAACTGATAAAATCGCTTTGTTGGAAACCTAACCTAATTATTTGCAGATAGGAAGTTACCACGCCTTTAAATGAAACTGATAAAATTTACGAAATTCATGGTGAAATATTTCTTCAATAGGGTAGAAATGAGGCAACGACTGACGGCTANTTAATTTGTTCCAAAGTAGATTACCCAAATCCGCGATACTCATTGCAAATTCAATGTACATTTCCTCTGGCAAATGCCTTCGTCGCTTCCCCAGTTGACAACTGCGAAATTAGGTTTCATGGTACAGCAGGCATTTTGATTCAAAAACAGCACGATATCCTAGATTTCAATAAGCTATTGCTATTTCAAGCTATAGTTCACAAAGCCTCCTCACGTGCTTCACGTTGTTTACGCAGTTGTTCCTTCATATGCTGGGCACTATCTACACTGAATTTATTTATCCTTTTGGTCTTCTGAATTCTTCCGCCAACTTGAAGCCTGAGTAGAAGGAATCAACTTCCAGGGAAAGCCACTCAAAAGGCCTCCTTGGAAATGTCTCCGTCCATCTAAGATCTGCTTCCCTGTTAAAGTGCTTCTGCCCTTTCTAATTAAACAGATTAAACTGATTTACCGTTGCAAAAAGACAAGGCTGAATAAAGTCTAACTACAGTTTGACACAACCGAACAAAATACAAGCAGATTTGAGGAGCTGTGAGCAAGATGAAACCAGGTATAATGTCCGGACCCTTTACAGTAGGTTCCGCACTTTTAACTGAGAATGGGATAGGTAACCAAATTCACATAGCGCCAGGGCGAGGGGAATCCTATGAAAGACTGTGGTCGACAACTGGGTGGCCAAGGTAGCTTCCGTTTTGCATTACTCTCGCTATGTGATCCGTCTCAATTCTGGCCGATGAAATCCCAGATGATGTTTTCAAGCACCNTTCGAATTGTCACCTTTCTCATGTTTAGTGAAAGTGTGATTAGTTTAGATTTCTGCACAAAATATAAGGCACAAAACCCGAAAAACGTGCTTTGATTGCATTTGCTCATTTCCCGCAAGAGGATTAGGTATTGAGTTATGAACAAATATTAATTTGCTCCGTCCGAAAAAATCCACTCATTCATCTTGTCATTGTTAAGTATTGTGGTAATGGACAACTAAATAGCCCAAAGGAGGGGGGGGATAACACAAAATGTGAGTGGTCAAACCGTATCTGAATGAATTACAAGAACTTAATATAAAAATGAGTTTTAATTGTCAAAAATTAAGCTGATAAAACGGAGGCTACTGCCAACAAATTAAAGGGTTGTAATGGTCAAAATACGCCCCAATCGGTATAATAAGGTATCGTTTCTGTTTGGTACCACAGGGGGACCACTGGAGAAAATAACAAGTGTAACGTAAATGAACTGATAAAATCGCTTTGTTGGAAACCTAACCTAATTATTTGCAGATAGGAAGTTACCACGCCTTTAAATGAAACTGATAAAATTTACGAAATTCATGGTGAAATATTTCTTCAATAGGGTAGAAATGAGGCAACGACTGACGGCTAAAATGAGCGACGAATCATCATAATAACGGCTCCCTTTAATTTGTCCCAAAGTAGATTACCCAAATCTGCGATACTCATTGCAAATTCAGTGTACATTTCCTCTGGCGAATGCCTTCGTCGCTTCTCCAGTTGACAACTGCGAAAGTTAGGTTTCATGGTACAGCAGGCCTTTTGATTCAAAAACAGCACGATGTCCTAGATTTCAATAAGCTATAGCTATTTCAAGGTATAGTTCACAAAGCCTCCTCACGTGGTTCACGTTGTTTACGCAGTTGTTCCTTCATATGCTGGGCACTATCTTCACTGAATTTATTTATCATTTTGGTCTTCTGAATTCTGCCGCCAACTTAAAGCCTGAGTAGAAGGAGTAACCCTCCAGGGGAAGCCACTCAAAAGGCCTCTTTGGAAATGTCTCCGTCCATCTAAGATCTGCTTCCCTGTTAAAGTGCTTCTACCCTTTCTAATTAAACAGATACAACTGATTTATCGTTGCGAAAAGACAAGGCTGAATAAAGTCTAACTACAGTTTGACACAACCGAACAAAATACAAGCAGATTTGAGGAGCTGTGAGCAAGATAAAACCAGGTATAATGTCCGGACTTTACAGTAGGTTCCGTACTTTTAACTGAGATTGGGATAGGTAACCAAAGTTCACATAGCGCCAGGGTGAGGGGAATCCTAAGAAAGACTGTGGTTGACAACTGGGTGGCCAAGGTAGCTTCCGTCTTGCATTACTCTCGCTATGTGATCCGCCTCAATTCTGGCCGGTGAAATCCCAGATGATGTTTTCAAGCACCGTGTGCGGATTTCACGGTCCATCAGACGTCTAGGTACCTTGAGAGGTTTAGTGCAACAATCGCCCAAACTGAACGTGGATCCCCTGAATCTTGGACTCGACAATCCAATCACGTAAAATGTGATATCTCTGTGAAATCTTGCGAACGGATTTTCAAACGTGGGCTGCAAGCCGCACTTCTATCAACCAGGAAGAGAAAATTTCTTAACCACTCGCTCAAACATGGTACCAGGTTTAACCCCGTAATTTTCGACTGCCTGAACGTTAAGTGAATAGGGATTTATCTGTTTACGAAAAGATCTTTTTAGAAAACCGTAACAAAAAGGACCGAAATGAGGGAAGGCCTCAAACTTGAAACTTTCGGTTGTCTGCCATTGATATTTCGCTTATGGGTTTTATGCGCAGGAGTTAATTTTGATGACAATAGCTTGATCACGCGTGGCCAACTGTTGGCTAAATTCCGTAACCGAAACAGTTGCGCCCCATCACGCATAAAGCGACCGGAACTAGTATTGCTGGCCCTCATAACTTTTAGTGGGCAGTCGTATTAGTCCTTACAACTTTGGTTGATCAGCAGAGGGGATTTGTTTGTGAACATTGTTGTTTGTCTTATTCTCCTTCGTCTCCTCACAGTGAGGCGTCACGGGTGACTGATTTGGTTGTTCTGGAAGTCAAAACAGTTGCTAGATGTTGGCTACCTGAACGTCGTTTTGTTACACGTCTAGAGCTTGCATAGGATGAAGAACCAAACTTCACTTAGCTTGTCATACAGTACTTCTCAGCTGATTCCCAGTGATTACCCGTGACTCTTATTACTAGGTTGCGTGTAACAATGGTCCTGCTAGCTGCATAGCTTAACGAGCAGGCCAAATTAGATGGTGGGGACAAGAACGTGAAACCGCTTAGATTTCTCGTGCAAAAGAAACCACGCATGTCATTATGTGTCTAAATGTGCCCAAACCGTCCTGAAGAGACAACCGCCAAAATAATGCTGACAGAGAATACGAACAGACTGTTGAATAGTTTAAGGGAATGGAACCAGTTATCGCCAAACAAGAGGCCTCCTTTGTCTGGGATGCAACTGGAGACGTACTGTCTAGAGTTGTTGGGAGAAAACGCCCTAGGATCCTGAGAACATCACTACTATCTAGTTTTTTCAAGCCACATATTTATTCAGATTTCCGGCTTTTATTAATAGTAAAGCACATCAGAATAGTTGACCGAATACAGTGATGTCACCCGGTTGTTATACAAAACTTATTTCTTCCGCACTTATGATAACTTTCAGTGAGTCTCCTAAACATTTCGTTTATAAGACAAATTACCTGCGATGGAAGCAAGAGGGTAGTATTAGCCGAAATTTCCCTCCGGTGATATTAAAACACTACAGTAAAACAGCTGAAGGCCTACTTTCAGTGAATCCATCTTAGATTTACTAGGCTTATCACAAACATCTTCCAAACATTCAATCAAGCACTTGTTCGCCTGGGCTCCGACTAACAGGATGCCAAAAAACATGCTATGGTAGACCGTGATACATCTTACTTTACTGTTTATGCTCTTATATTGTCCACAGCCTCCAAATATGAATGCACTGCATGAAATCATTGACCGTGACACGCAGGAACCTCTATCTCTTGTGGAAATCATCGATCGACACGTTGTTCGGCTATGCCGCTTCAACCAACTGCACCTGATTGAAGAGCTCATCATTCAAGGTTATGAACCTATTCAAAACGCCCTTTTGAGATTTCCGCATCCACGCACCTCTCTGCAACTGGCTAAACTGCATCAACACGTCGAGCTGGCGAAACTGTTGAGTAGAGCACCAAAGTACCAAGAAGCCATGAACGCTCTGCAGGAAGCCGTTGTAGCTGGAGACGAATTACAGTTTGCCAGTTTAGTGAATGAGTGGTGTCTACTGTGGTGTGAGTTTTTCTGTTTGCCACGTGTTTTCGGCTTGTACAAACAGGCGGAAAATGGAAAGAGGTCGGAAAAGCATTAGAACACCTTAAAATCTTTTCCAAAACGATGACTTTAAGATCACTTACCGCTAACCTTTTCTGGACTTCTGTTGAGTGGCTTATTAGACAACCTCGTGCCCATAGTGCTATCTAACCAACAGAAACGAATGGCGCATTAGGGTATTTAAGAACCACTCTCAGAAAATAAACAAGCGATGTAATTTATTTTATTTTCTATGTAATCCCATAAGGGGAATATCATACGATCGCCGTGAAAAATGCTTCGTCCTCAACATGTGCAAGACACCTCTACTTGATTATATGGTTAGAAAACACCGTGTATCTTTCATCTCCAGTGAAAAATTACCAAATTTGAGTTAGACATTGAAAAATATTACTGTCTCACCGCGAGACTTTTGTAAGGAGACTCAACTCTGCCTGGCCACAAACCTGCGCCCTGCCAAAAAAGGGTAGGACAAGACACAATATTGATAGCTTTTGTTCAGATTGCCGGCTACATCTCAAAAAATCCTTTTCAAACTGTTCAGTCCCCCAAAAGAATGAACAGAACACTCTAGGGACCAGAGCGCTCGTTGAATTGTGTCTGACGAAAGAACATTGTTGTGCCTTTTTTGTTTATAATGGTCTCTTCTTAAATGGGCTTGTTTCGAGAAAGATTGGCTCGTGGGTTTTCCTAACATAAACTTCATAAGATTTTCAAGACGTGTTACCACAAGCAAACGCAGATTCAGTTAATTGGTTACTTTGTTTGCTGACGTAATCTAGAAAGCATTGATTGGGCTACTCAGCATTATTCCTTTGTAGGCTTGGTTGCTTAGGCCATCAAATGTAAGACGAGGAACTTAAATCTGCTGAGATCTCACAATTCTCACAAACCTTTTAACTGACGAGGCTCAATAACCACGCGAATACCTGTGTCTGAGTGTTCTTAGGTGTTTGCCAAAACAGTCAACTGTTGGGTAGATATGAGACCCTCTACCTGAATTGGGTAGCGAGAAGCTCAGGGGGTTAGAGCGGAATTTACTGTAAAGGTCCATGGTTCTGCCTCTCCACTCACCCTGTCTAGACTTGGGAAACCTGGCAGTATCCCAGCCATCGTGCTCCCTTCTGGTGGTATAGTCGTTAGGCACCGAAAGGATGTTACAGCTGAATTGCATTAAGTAATGACAGTTCAAACAAAATATTCAGCCATTCACAAGTTCAGGCCATCTTGTACGTAATATTTTACCCCACCTGAAAGTCGGATTGTATGGGTGTTCATTTAATTATATTCTCAGATAACTTTGACAGGATGTTCATCATTGAACCCTCAATAAAAGCAAAAGGTCAGACGTTTGTTCTCAAATTTGCTCTAGCAGCGTGATGTGACTACCAACATCCACGTGATCAGTTTTATGCGGTGTACTTTTCCGATTCAATTTCTAATATTGATCTGCACGCTTATCTACCCGCTGCATGCATGGCACATATTGCGTTGACGGATGAGAAAATGTGCCATTTTATCTAACGCACCACAAAATGTTTTACTGGTTTCCGTCGACTTTGAAGTTTGGATGAACCAGTTCGTTTGAACGTTTAAATCAAAGTCTTTGCACGAACGTAAAAATATTTTGCAGGATAACCTGACTTCATCACTGACAAGCTATTCTAAGCCTCATCAATGTAGGTAGCTCGGGTGCGCTGTTTGGTTGTTGGTCTGTTCGCCGAGCTTGGCAGTTGGACTGCAAATGTTTCATCACCAATCGAGGTGACATCGTCAGTGCAGGGTTGAGTGAGCCTCATCAAAATTAAAGTAGCCAACAATTAAACAAGAGTCAGTAAGAATGCTCAAAGCAATGAATGTCTTTAGAGTAGGATTTGTCCCATAACTGTATTGCATTTGCTTGTGTGACTGCTACAGTGGGGAAATAAAGTATATTGTTGATAGCATCTTGCTAAATATACGCACACTGCAAGATTCGAAGGAGAAATTGACGAACTAAGTGAAGAGTACAACCGGCTAGGAACATTTTGGACAACTATCTATGAAGAATCTTCTAACCTGTATGGAGGTTGCCATAACAGACATTTCAAACTAGAAATTTCAATATCATGAAATGTTCTTTCCAAGTCATCAACCACTCAAACCCTCCGCAATTTACACATCCACATTCTGCCTTCACTCTAGGCGTGGATTGGCGTGGACGGTCTCTTTTGCACCTTGCTGTGATTCACCGTCAAAACAAGCTAGCGCTGCAGTTGATAGACATGTGCCCCTCACTGGCAAACAACCAAGACTGTTTGGGTCGTACTCCAATGCATTATGCCATCTGCCTCGGTGACGGTCGTGAACTGTTCCTCAAGCTCGTTGCGCGAATGGGTGGTGTGGACAAAACGATTAAGGACTTTGTAAGTGCTTGCACATCAACCTCTTATAATGTGACAAAACATACACGGAGTAAACTTTTGCAGGTCGTAACAATGCCCAAACAATGCATTCTTCTTAAAACTCGCAAACAGATGTGCAAAACAGACACTTGTCCAACCAGCCATAGGCAGCTCATACTTGAAGCAACCCTACATATAAAGTTATGAAAAGATTTCCGACAGCCCATCAGTACTTTAGACCACCTTCAAGTGGGGTGGC